TCTAGCTTAGATCTTCAAAATTTTGAGAGAGAGGTGACGATCCAACCCAAGGATTTGCAAGGATTCAAAGGGTTTAAGTGTTGTGGTTTGGATTTCTAGAGAGAATGAGGAGAGAAAATGGTCTTTAGAGTGAAAGAGAAGTGCCAAAAGTGAGGCACACTTTCAAACCAAAAGAGAAAAAAATTAGGGATTTTCGGACTGCAGAGTACCGCACGTGCGGCACCCATCCCCGCACGTGCGGAGCGCCCGTTCCCGCACGTGCGGCCTTCATCCCCGCACGTGCTGGGCTCATCCCGCACCTCTTTCCGCATGTGCCTTTTAGGCAATGTGCAATCCACCAAAAGCCCCATTTTCCCGTACGTGTGGCTTGGCCTCCCGCACGTGCGGCCCTGGGCCCCGGCATGTGCGGCCCCTGTTTTCCTGCCTAGATTTTTCTGACTCGATTCCCGGACGCCCCGGACTCGACTGTGCCCACTCTGGAATGGATGAAATTAAACCACCGAACCAAAAACAATAATAAAAACCTATTCAAAAGAAATAGTTTCCAAACGTTTTAATCCAACGAAGCAAGGGAATGGAATGGAGAAGGAAAGGAAGGGAAAAAGAGACCCGATCGTCACAATCCTTCTTTGGTTTCCTTTTGACCTTAGAGAAAAGCCTAAGAAACTGCAGTAATTCAAGACGAAACTACCCAAGCCTTCAAAGCAACAGAAATTGCTCCTTTTGCCCCAAAGCTAGTTGTGGACTTGGATGCTTATTTTGAGGTTGTCCCAAAAGACTACTTCAACTGTCTCTGGAGCCTCTAGAAGTTGGACTGCCTCTTCAAGTCAAATCATGCCTTTCTCCAATGAAGTTGAGAAAGCTAAGAATGATCTAAAGTCATTGTTGGTTTTGTCATTTCCAAATGTTTTGCACCCAAGATGGCTCCTAGTTCTGACATGTGTTCTAAGTGTTCTAGCCACTTCTACATTATTTGACTTTGCCCTTCAGCTAGCTCTCCAAGAATTTCAACAGCGAATTTCTAACATAAGTCAGACTCGCATTTCCCTTGTTCGCAAACAAGGAGAAATTGATGGGAAATTTCAGCGATCGGCCTACTTACAGAATCTTCTGAAAGAGTATGTAGAATCCTACAAGAAATTGAAGGAAGCTACTGATGCTAAGGCAAAGCAAATTGTCCACCTGAAGGACCAAATTGCTATTCTTCAAGTTCAATTGAAGGAAGTAGAGAAAGACATAGTTGTCTTGGCTACCTAGAAACAGGAACTATACGTAGTTGTCTTGGCTACTCAGAATTAGATATCAAACTTCTTGAACTTAAAGAAGCTCGTGCCGCCACCGTGATTAAGTTCCAAGTTGTAGATGCCCCTTGGAACATTCTCAAGACCAAAATAAGTAGCCTCTTGTGATTTCCTTTCATTGCATCTTAGAACTTTTGATTGGTTTAGGAATTTGCCGCACTTTTTATTTTGTTCGGCCTATTAAGATCATTTTTGCTTGGTCGGCCTGGTTCTAGACAAGACCGTTTTGAACATTTTTGAACATGTTTAGGTTTGTTGTTCAGGCCATTTTTTTATCTGATAAATTCACAGAATTTTGCGTTGTTGACTCCATCATTTCCCACATTGTCGGATAAAATTTCTTCAAGTACTTGCCATTTATTAGACACTTGTGTAATTCACCATTTAGATCATGTAATTGGCAGGAACTTCCCTTTCAAACTCTGAAAACTAGAAATGGGCCCTCCCAACTTGAGACCACTTTCCAAAGTTAGGATCATTTGTACCAAATAGCTGGACTACTTTCCAGACTAAGTCATTTTCTGCAAACTCTTGTTTCTGACTCTTCGATCATAAGCTATGGCTACTCTCTATTTCTACACTAAAAGATGATCTAGGGTTGCTAACCTTACTTCATCTAGATCCTCAAGCTCCATTAACACGACTTGATTATATTCTGCCGGAGTTAAGTCATTCTAGAATGCAACTCTTAAGGACTCCACAGTTACTTCCATATGAAGGACTGCATCATGCCCAAAAGTAAGCATAAATGGTGTAATTCCTGTTGCTGTTCTTTTTGAAGTTTTGTAAGCCCACAATGCTTTTGACAGGACTTCATGCCAAATTCTAGGTTTGTCCTCAATCATTCTTTCAATGATGCCTTTCAAAACCTTATTTGTTGATTCTACCTGGCCATTGCCTTGAGTATAATATGGAGTTGAATGAGAAAGTTCTATACCATACTCTTCGGCAAAGGCATGGACTTCTCCACTAAAGAAAACAGTTCCTCTATCGGTCACAATATGTTGAGGCATGCCAAATTTGTGTATAATGTTTTCTTTGTTCATCTTGATGGTCATTTTGATTTACTAACTTCATAGCAATGGCTTCAGCCCACTTTATAAAGTAATCCATAGTCATAACTATGTAGGAATGACCCTTAAAAGAAGAACAATTTTTTTTTCGAATCATGTCAAAGAACCAACCTCTAACTGGCCATGGTTTAACTATGGAATTCATAGAACTTGTTGGCGCATGTTGGATATGACCATAGGCTTGACAAGGTAGACATCCTTGGGCAAATCTAATGTAATCTGAAAGAATAATAGGCTAAAAGTATCCATACCTTCTAATTAGACATTGCATTTTTCTTCCTGCTTGATGAGCCCCACAAATTCCTTCATGAGCATTACTTTGATTGCCTCTTTGTTAGAAAGGCACTACAGAAGCAGGTCATCTTCAAGACTCTTCTTGTAAAGTTCTCCTTCAATCCAGACATGATGTGTTGCTCTCCTTCTAGTCTTTCTATCTACAGGAAGTTGTGGATGTTTCAAGAATTGAGCTATGGGGAAATGCCAATCTTCCTTAGAAATCTCTATCATGTTTACTTCCAGGATAGATTGCTCTCTTCTCTTGACTGAAGGGGACAATCTTTTGTGGATGATGATGGTTCTTTGGTAGAAATCCCTTTTCTATGCATTAAAATATGGAAAATGTCTCGTAGCTCAAATTTTGTGGCTCAAAAGTGGCTCAAATGGCCAAAATGACGTCGTTTTGGCCATTTTTATGTTGTTCTGTACTCAAAACGACGTCGTTTTGGCCATTTGAGCCACTTTTGAGCCACAAAATTTGAGTTACGTAGCATTGTCGTTAAAATATACCTTAACCAAACCTAAATCTCTTAACATGTTAAATTATCAAAATAACACATAACAAGGCTAAATAACATAGAAATAATTAAAAGAATCCCTACCTCAAAGCAAGAGGAAGAGATGAGTAACACCCAAAAATCGACATAGACGAAAATTTGAACTTTTTAGATTAAAACGTAGCCTTCAACGTGTCCTAGCTTTTGATCTTAAGGAATAGGGGTGGAAAATGGCTTAAAAGAGATGAAACCAAGTGTTTAAAAGCTTAAATGCTAAAAATGGCGATTTGAGAGAGAAAATGAGAAGATGAGATCAAAAAAATTGATATTTTCAACTTTTGGGTGATATTTATAAACAGCTGCATCGCGGGTGCGAAAGTCACAATAGCGACGCAAACTCCCACACCACAGGCGCAATGCCAAAGTCATGGCTTACCCTCGCGGGCCACACAACTATCCCAGTGAAGGGACCTGAAGGTATGTTTTGGTCATGGGTGACATCGTGGGTGCGATCCTGTAGCTTGCGAGCCACACAATTCTCTTTTAGGCCAACAAACCTGAAGGCCATAATTGACCGCAGTCGTAAGTGCACATCGCAGTCACAGGCATGACCCTTCAAACAAAAGAAGAAATTTGCCAATGGTGCTGAGTCAAAACCAAGGTTCCCTGTGACAATTTAAATAACTAAAAGGTACAAAACAACCCGAATAGATGCAAACCAATACCAACAAGTACAAAGGGGTTGGGTCTTGACCTAAACAGCTATATTTCCAAATCAAAATTTCATATTTTGGGTGTACATGTCCAGAAATAGATTCCCATGAAGCTTGTGTTTGCAAATAGTAAAAAGCTTGTGCTTAGGTAGTTTAGTTTGAGCTCTGAAATTCTATAATGTTGATTGCCCATAGATCAATTAAACTAGTACTAACACTACTTTTTCACTCATTGCTAGCCAAGTTTTAGAAAATGCGAATGACTTTTGCCACCATAGATCTATTGAACTAGTTAAAAACAGACTTTACAGATGAGAACATATATTTAAAACCTAGTTTATGTGTTCTGTATTTAATTCTTCGAAAATAAAATATTTTTGCTGTCAATTTTTTTTGTTATTTTTGTTGATTTGACGCATCTTATTGCAAAGATCATGTTGCCTGTAAGAAATGAAGCCTTGTTCAAATATTTGTGATAATCACATATGTAGCTTGTTGACTTTTTAAATTAATTTTTAAAATTAGAGCTTTGTTTTGAATTTTGTGTTTAGTTGTAAGCACTAACTGATTGATAAAATATTCTTATTAGGATTAGCATGTCAATGGGTTATACCTTCACCAATTCAAGCACTAATGGTGGCTTTTTCTAACAACTTATATGTGGAAAAAGCCAAAAAAACAAACATATCCGCCTCTACCATCCCTGCAACCCAACTATACAAAACACCAAAAAAACCTACTCTCTAATCATGAGGCAGATCCGGCTCCTCCATCTCTTATTTATTTATTTTTTTTAACTTTCTTTTCTCCACCACCACCACATAGTCGGCCACCAGCTCCTTTCACAACCACCTTCCACCGCCATTGGAGCACCATTGACACTCCCATCTACCTCCCTCGTTGCACATCGCACCACTCCCTTCTGCAACACCAGCACTCCCCCACAGCCAACACTAGCCCCACCATCCAATTGTTCATAAAATCAAAATCCTAACTCACTGCTGTGTTAATTGATCATTATAAACTGGCGATGATGTTTTGCCGATCTGGATAGCAATATCAGTTCATTCTCTTGCTGAAGAAAAATAATAATAATAAAATAAGGATTTGTATCCTGCAAACCCCACCTTCACTATAATATTCGCAATAATAGTGATGAAATCATTAAATTAATATGAATATGAGTTATCCAGGTCCATTTACAACAGAACTTGTGGTTTTACATTTACACTATACAACCAATTACTTCATACATTGAAACAAAGCATTGCGAGCAAAAAGAAGATTCACAGAGCAAGATAGAGGAGACTTTACAAACAAGTATTGTAGAAAAGGAAACGATACCTACTATAAATCCAGAAAGCAACTAACTTGGAGGTTGGTCAACCCTAAAAGGCGGTGAAAACAGGGTCATTCATAAAATAATAGCCCATTTCACATCTTATCTTTCACTGCCTTGGCCTTCTCTATGGACTCCACAGCATCTTCAAATGATTTCTGAAATTAAAACAGGAAAATACATCAGCAACAGGAATTTTCAACCAATAATTAACCAAGTCCATTGCAACCAATACCAAAAATCAAAAGAAGAAAAACCAATAACATTTTGGTGCTCCCAGAAAACTCATTTTGGATTATGGCATCATTGGCATGCATAGAAATCAAATGTGAAACCAACTAGGGCTCAGTCATCCAAAAGTCCACCAAATGTCCAACCCATGTTAAATGCTCATAGCCTCATACTGGTGGACCCTTTGCAGTTATTGAATCGTTAAACAGCTACATATTTTTATAGTATTGACAGTTTTACTTCATTAATATTTTACTACTAAAACTAATCTGCCAATACATCATATAATTGAAAGTAAGATCCACCACTAGTGTAACATCACATTGACAAAAAGTGTATTTGTTACATGTGTTATTGCATTTAGCCTTAACTTTTGCAAGTCAAAGCTTTCCTGCTTTTAGCTCTTAAACTTGGCTCAAACAAATGTGTGTGGGACTTAAACTGAATAACTACCATAAAAAACAAAACCAGGGCAAGAATTCTACACTTGCATCAACCAAAATATATAAATGATCATTTGTGTTACTACAAGAATAGCATATGGAAAGTCAACCAGTGGTATTCTTGGGTTAAGTAAAAAGTTATTCGAACATTCATTTCAACCTCCATCTGAAGTAGCCTGGCTCCCTTTCAGGTATTCATTGCTAATTTGTTCAACTTACCTCCCTTCAAGCCTATTCTCTTTTGCTACAAGTGGATAGGTAGATGATTGAGTTAAAGTGTTTTGAAGTCGAGAAGAAAGTTATTGTAGTCTTTGAAATTCAAAGGCTACCAAAACAATTAGAACCTCAAGAAATCACATAAAATTTTTGAAATGACTACATATATAAAACATTTTACCTCGAAATTTCTCACTTTCCTTCCAAGATCCTCGAACTCCAGCTACTATTGGTACTAGAATTATTATTAGTATTATTATTTTCTCTTTTAATGATTTACCAACAGAGAAGGTTCTCATATGCCTTACACATTCATCAAGGTATTAAGAAAATCATAATTACTCATATAAACCTCGTATGATGGGTTTTGAAATTTAATTGTTTCCAGTGGCCCTGAGCGAACTTAAAATTTTCCCTAAGCAAAAATTTAACATAAGTTAAATTACCCTTAGGAAATGAGAGAGTTAAAAATAAAATAAAATAAAAGACAAGTAACAGGTGAGAAAGGAAAATAAGTGAAATACAGCAAGGAGCAGGCATATAGTGTATCCCCCCTTATCAGTGTTACATGTGTGTTTGTATGTGCCAACAAATACATAGACCAGACCATGAAATTTAGTAGGGGGCAAAGATGAACATTGCAGGCATATCACACTGGATCCATTGTCCACTTCTGGAGAGTTAATTAAGCTCTGGAGATAAAATTTCCATGACATAATATGCAAATGCATGACAATAAGTCACCAAGTAACCATGATATCACACAGCATTTCTAATAAGAAAAAACGACAGAAAAGTTGAAGTCTATGGATGCACACAAATAAAACCAAACTACATACCCCAGGATTGTGCATCTTCCACAATGTATCCCCACTTGTGTCAATAATAAACGTTCCACCTAGTAGAGCACTACAAAAAATTATGTATCAGCCAAATTCCTGTCACACTTGAGAAACCATTCATGTTATACAATAAAAGCAAATGTGAAAGCACAGCATCTAATTAACAGGATCAAGCTATTCACCATATTTTACACCATTTAAGAATAAACAGTAAACTCCATCATTACTATATAAAAAAAGGGACTGGTCTACTAAAGTTTCTGTTAGTTCACTCTCTACATATTTGTTGTGATAGCATGATAAAATGGTTTGCACATAAATATTCTTTATTTCTTTTTCTTTTTCTTTTTCTTTTTCTTTTTTTTCAACAATGGTGTACATGTACTTTTTATAATTAACATTGCTCTCAGTTAACATTTTTTGTTGCCAATGGGTATTAACCATCTCTGTTTGACCATACTCCTTTAAGGCTGTGCTAATCCAAGGCTCAAACTCAAAAGTCTCTGATAACGTAGTTGGCAAGGCTCAAATACTCTAATTATGTGTGTTTTCTTTTTCTTTTTTTTTATACTTTTACTGAAATGATCTGCAACTCTGCATGCTACATGTTTGTTTTTTTAGTAAGCATTGTTTTTTGAATAATGAATTTTTGCATTGCTAGCTGATTTTTTAGTTCATTCAATATGATTACTGTGAACCTTGTTCTCTAAGTCTTCGATTCTTAGCACTTAGCAACAACAAAATATAATCTTGTTTGGTTTGGTTTGGTTTTCAAATTCTGTTACTTTTTCCTTTTTCAAAGAAATAAAAAAACTAGTTTGTTGAATAAAATGGAAAGAAGAAAAAAAACTCATCATTTTCATATGGTTTTCTCTTTTTTGGGGGTGAAATATAATTTTTGAAAGTAATAAATATATCTTTTGTGTTTATTTTCATCAAACTAGTTTCTATTTTTAAAGGGAAAAAAAATTAAAAAAACAGAAAACAGAAAATAGTTTTTCAACACTAAACCAAACAGAGATTTTTTACATTTTTTTCTGCTGAAATGGTCTATGATTAATTACTATTATGCATGCTCTTTGAATTTGTACATCTATTACTGTTGTTTTTTGAATTTTAGCACTTTGATTTTCTGATTATTTATTTATTTGTATTTTGATTCTAGATGATTGATTATCCTTCTCCCATTGTCAATGAAAATGCCCAAGGTAGTGATGTTCAAGCTAATGCCCCCAACCCCTGTAAGAAGCTTCCAATACCACTCCAGGAAAAGGGTAAGCTGCAGGAAAAGGGTGGTGGGAGAAAATCGTCTTAGCCATGGGATCGTCTTAGGGTCAGATAAAGAGTGAGAAAGATGGAAAAGCCAGGGTTGTGTGTAACTATATCAAAAAGGAACACCTTGTTGATTCCAAAGGCCATGGTACAAGTACTTTATTGAGTCATTTGGTAACTTGCCCAAAATATGCTTATAGGGATCAGGGTATGGGACAACAAACCTTGTTCTTTCAACCCCAACAAGATGGAGAAGTGGGTGTTGATCTTGTGGCAACGAGCTTACTATTGAATAGAGTAGTAAAGCTCTCGTTGAGATTATCATTCTTGATAAATTGCCCTCTAGGTTTCTGGAAGGAATTGGATTTATGATATTTTGCAATGTCTTACAACCTAAGTTTAAGGCAATTCCATCTCGTACAACTGTTGCTAGAGATATTGTAGCCATTTTTAACAAGGAGTGGTATAAGTTAAGAAACATACTGAAGGGTCATAGGGTTTGCCTTACCACAAACACATGGACATCAATACAAAATCTAAGGATGTGTTTGGTTTGTGTTTGTAGAGTAGTTTTTGAGATACAAAGTACAAAAACTTGTTTGGTTTGCCTTTTTTCAAAAATGGTTTTGGAAAATTGTTTTGGGGAGAGATTTTTAAAAAAAGTGATTGATTTAATGTGTATGAAAGAGAGAGTGATTTTAGAAAGTAGGTAACCAAACAAAATTTTGATTTTTTTTTAGAAAAAATTTGTTTGGTTTGATTACTCTTAAAAATTTATTTGTAGAGAATTTTTCCCAAAAATTTTTCTAAGAAACAAACCAAACAAGGCCTAAATTACATATGCCCACTGCTCATTTCATTGATGATGATTGAAAACTACAAAAAAAGATCATAAACTTTTGTCAAGTGGAAGAACACAAGGAAGAAACTACGGATAAAATAATTGGGATGTGTTTGCTTGAGTTGAATGTTGGTAGCAGTTTTACATTGACCAATCACTTTCAGTAGAAAAGACTTTTAAAAATCCCACAAACAAACTATAGTTTTTCCAATCACTTTCAGTTGGAGCTCCATATGTCTTTTTTTTTTTCACTTCCCAAGTCCCGATCATTACAAACCTCATTACCCAAAAAGTAAGATTTGTAATTGAAATCCTCATCCTCAAAAAGCCTTCTCAAACTTTTTAGCAACCTCCAACATTAAGTAGGTAAGGTTCCACTTAGTTGGTACATCAAGGCATAAGGGAAAGTCTACTAGTAAAAGAATTGAGATATGTTTGTTTGATTGGAAAGTTTGTAGCATTTTTACATTGAACGTTGATAATGCTAGTTTTAACAACGCTACCATCAAGTTCTTGAAGAGGAAAACAAAAGATTGGAAGGGGACCATCTTAGGTCATGAGTTTTTACATATGTATTGTTATGTGCATATTTTGAATCTGATAGTGGGTGCGGGTTTGAAAGAATTAGATAAATCTAATGCTTGTGTTCATGATGTAGTGAGCTACGTGAGGTCTTCTCCTAATAGGCTAGAAACCTTTAACAAGTGTGGAGAGAAAGCAAAAATTGAATCAAAGTTTCTTTTATGCCTTGATGTACCAACTAGATGGAACTCCACCTACTTAATGTTGGAGGCTGCTAAAAGTTTTGAGAAGGCTTTTTTGAACAGATGAGGGATGAGAACAATAATTACAAATCTTACTTTTTAGATGATGAGGCTTGTGGGAAGTGAAAAAAAAGAAGACATATAGAGCTCCAACTGAAAGTGATTGGAATAATTGTACGTTGTTTGTAAGATTCCCAAGGCTTTTCTACAATGCAACCAAGCGGCTTTTGAGCTCACTTTACATTGCTTCTAATTGTTTCTTTTATGCGGTGTTTGTGATTCAAACAAAAATTGAGTAATAGGCTAAAAAAGATTCGAAAGAGGAGTTGTTGCCTTTAGTGGCCAAAGGTATGAAAGCTAAATTTGAGAAGTATCGGGGGAATGGAGTTAAAATATAACTCCTAGTGTATGTTGTCGTGGTCCTTGATCCTCGGAATTGAAGGATTGATATTGACCGTGTGCTTTGGAATTGAATAGTTAATCTCAAAATTAAGAAAATACAAAATAAAACCCTAAGTTACACTTAAAATCTAGGTTGCCTCCATCTACGCCTAAGGAATTCTCCATGATGATCCCCATGCTACTAAGGTCAAACCCTACCAATTTGAGAATTCACAATGAACTTTCATTGTCAAAATGTCGGTAAATTACTTCGATGTAAAATAGCCCTTTTAGTCTCTTAGCTCTTTAAACCCTAGTTCTCAAATAGTTTCCTTGCTTTGCTAGACATAAATAGGGAAATAATTTCTGGGTTTGGACAATAATATAATTGAGGAATAACAATCTGCTTTTGCCGCATTGGTGTGATGAAATTCCACAAAAATTGTGCTACAAGTAAGGAATCCCAACTATTCTACTGTAAGTCATAAAACAAAAGAATTCAAATTCATATGGTACAAAAATGAGAAGTCACACGAAAAAATCGAATTTTGAATCCAACTCAACATTCCAATATAAACATAATCACAATTGGCTACATAAAATTAAACATAAAATTAACATTAAGGAAGAGATTACCCAGCAAAGGCAAGGTTGAGAAGACCCGAACGTGTTGTAAGAAACCGAAAAGCGATCTCCAACTTAGAAACCAACCCATCTCCATTAACACCTCTGCTATAAAACCCATGACTAGAATTGGTTTTACTGCAAGAATTATAGCCATACCCATAACCATAAGAATTGAACCCACTTGCTGTTCTCCCATTGTTGTTATTGTTGTTGTTGGAATATCGGAGATTGAAGTGAGCGCGCTTGCGATCGTCCATGAGGACCTCGTAGGCCTCTGAAACCTGCTTGAATCGAAGAGTCGCACCGTCCTTGACAGAGTTGGGAGAGTGAGAGTGCTTGTCTGGGTGGAATTGCATTGCTAATTTTCGAAATGCTTCTTTGACTTCGTAAAAGCGATCTCCAACTTAGAAACCAACCCATCTCCATTAACACCTCTGCTATAAAACCCATAACTAGAATTGGTTTTACTGCGAGAATTATAGCCATACCCATAACCATAAGAATTGAACCCACTTGCTGTTCTCCCATTGTTGTTATTGTTGTTGTTGGAATATCGGAGATTGAAGTGAGCGCGCTTGCGATCGTCCATGAGGACCTCGTAGGCCTCTGAAACCTGCTTGAATCGAAGAGTCGCACCGTCCTTGACAGAGTTGGGAGAGTGAGAGTGCTTGTCTGGGTGGAATTGCATTGCTAATTTTCGAAATGCTTCTTTGACTTCGTCTTTGGTAGCGTTTCGCGTCAGACCCAAGACCTTGTAGTGGTCCATTGGGGTTGATTTGGTGAGTCTGAGGAATCAATTGGGGGCAGAGAAGAAGAAGAAGAAGAAGAAGAAGAAGAAGAGAGAAACAGAGGGGTTTGATTCGTAAAATGGTTTTTCAGGTTGAATGGGGAAAAGGGGTAGTTGAGGATGCCATGGAAAGAGGACATATCGTGGCTCTCTTGCAGCCGTATTCTCTCTCTTTCTCGAGTGAGTCGACGACTCGTGCAGGTGCGGGTGCTAGGTAGGGTGGCCAGAGGGCGGGTTTGGGATGAGTTTGTCGTTCTACCTGTTTGGCAGAAATTATTTACAGCTTATTTCAGCTTTCAGCTTAATTTAAGCTATTTTGATGTGTTTGATTTAGCTTATAGCTTATAGTTTTGTAGAAGTCAAAAATCAGCTTATTTTTTGAGTGGGGCAGGAGATGCTTTAAGAATAAGCTGGAAATCAGCTTAAGCTGAAAGTTATAAGCTATAAGCTGTTTAAGCATAAGCTATAAGCACTTTCCCACAGCTCTACCAAACAGGGCTATTATCTGTTTAGGAATATGAATCTAAGTTCACGGAGCTCACCCGATATGCACCACACATGGTGGATACCGACTATAAGAAGGCCAAAAAGTTTGAAGATGGGCTTAATGTGGAAATACTCGATCGAATCAATGTCTTGAAACTGCTCAAATATGTGGATGTCCTTGACCTAGCAATTATAGCCAAAACAAATGTTGCAGCGTTGAAACAGACTAAGACACCGGTAACTGAATGGCGGGGTAAGAGGCAAGGCTTCAATTTCAAAAAGGACTGGAGCAACTCATTAAATAAAAAGCAAAACACAGGGTCAACAAGCAGCTCTAGTTAAGGGAACAGTTTCATACCACCCTGCTTCGAATGTGGAAAAAGACATAAGGGGGTCTGCTACAAAATTTTTGGGGCATGTTACATGTGTGGCAAGGTGGGCCACATGGTCAAAGATTGCCCTTCCACGTCTCAAGGCACTAGTAGACCCGCAGCTAGTGCCGCAGCATCAACTGTTGCACCAAAACCCAATCCCAAAGCTACCGGAAAGGAACCTTTAAGGCAAGGCCGGGTATTTGCACTTGTACCGAGAGACGTGCAGAACACCGAAACAGTTGTGTCAGGTATACTCTCAATTTGTGCCCAAAATGCTTATATTCTGATTGATTCGGGGTCTACACATTCGTTTGTCTCGCATGCTTACCCGCTCCGCTCCCATTACGGGTGACCAAAACATAATCTACTTCCGCCCCACATAAGTGTTGGGGCGGGTATGGGCGGGTGTAGACATCCTATTTTTGACCGCGCCGCAAGGCTCGAGTGCTTTGTCCGATACACTTGATGATGAAAGTGGTGTTGTGCATGGTTCGAGGTCTCAACGAACAGGCCATGTTTAAAGTTCCGAAACAATCCCAAACCTTTCATATTCCCACTGATTATATCCAAGAAATTCCTTTTTACACATTGTGCCACCCTATACTGAGGCTGAAACAAAAAAAAGGGAACACATTGAGGCCCGGTCGTGCCTCAATGAGGACCAGCCATAGCTATTGAAGGCTGGCTGTGCCTCGGTAGCAAGAAACACTGTTCTGGGCGGGATGCCACCAACTGTCCATTTTTGAAGATATTTATGCCTCCTCTTACTCAAATTCTATAAAAATCACTATGTATCTTTGTTTTGAGGGTTGGAGAATTTCTACAAAGCCTCTATATCACCTTGAGATTATTCTCCTTCTTCTTGTGCGAGTAACACTTTGAGCTAACCTATCACCTTGAACCTATATCCATACACTATATATACCTTCATACCTTGGCCTAGGAACCTTGGTTGAGCCTTAAATACCATAATTCAAGCTTGAAAGTGTGTTGAGACTTAGTTTGAATCACAAGCAAAAACTTACTTCTTTGAGAGGTATAAGCTTGTCATTCTCTCTTTTACTTTTTGTTCTTTCATTTGCTATCTAGTTCTTATAGCTTTATGTTGTTTTGATTCTATTCTAAGTGTTAATGTTTGGGTTTGGAGAGCTACCAAAAGGGTAAAGAGAGTTTACACTCTTTCTTACAGCTTGACCTACACTTTTACCTATAGTTCAAACCCTTACTTTTGCACTCTTTTTCTTTGCTTCCTAAACTGTTTTTGAGAGTTAAAAAGGTGTTGAAAATCATGCTTTAAGGTTTCAAAAATAGAGGGATTAGCCATCCCTCCTTGTTTTTTACGTACTAGTCCTATTTTCTTTCTATGTTGATTAGCTTTTTAGGCTCTTTTCATGCATTTTAAGCCACTGTTTTTCATCTCTTGAGGGCTGTTTTGGAGCTATTTTAGGTTGTTTAAATAATTCATGCTTTGATAGGCTTGGTTATTGTCTCATAAGTTTGCCTACATAGCTTGTTGTATATTGTTCTTAGCTTTTATTTAACTCATTTACATGTTTAAGAACCTCATTTTAGTAATCAACTCGTCATTCATCTCTTTCATTTGAGAGTTGTTTCAATCGGTTGACAGTTATTCAAAACGTGAACTAGCGATTTATGCTTAATGGCTTAATCTCTATGGAGGTTCATTGCCAACAGTGTAGTCTCTTTTTCATGTTGAGAATCACCTCCCATTTGACATATTTCTCATTTAGTGGACGTAACAATCATCTTAGACTTAATGGATTAAACAATGGTAAAGACTAATGAATTTCGCTTAAAATGAACCAACCCACATAAATAAAATGAGTTATATTAATTGGGGTTTGGCCGGACGTTATGTAGAATTTATTGTGTCAAAGGTTATCTTGCATCAATTCATTATGCTTTGAAGAACCTTGAAGCGTCTCTACCTTCCTCTTTGAGCTCACTCTATGATAGGAGGGAGGGGTGGTTGTTGTTCATTGCATTTATTGATCTTTGTCCAAATTGTATTTGAAATCATCAAGTAATCAACTTGCTCATTGATGGTTTTGGAAACGACTACAACCTTTTCTCGAAGCTTTCCCATGACAAAGAAGTGTGAGAGGAACAAACAGAGTCCAAAACACTTTGTCTACACTGTTTTCATTTCAGAGCATAAAACAGAATTTGGTATAAAATTGAGGCACGACCAGCCTTCTATAGGCCTGGCCAGGCTTCATTGAGAGCCGGGCGGTCATCAATGTTTAGTCAACAATGTATTTTGCAAAAAACAGAGGACAGTGGCTGAAGGTGAAACAGAGCAAGCCTAAGGCAGACAGAACTGTTCTTGGACATTGAGCTGCAACCCTTGCGCATCTTTGCTTACATCATGATCATTGTTGTAATTAATTAATTTGTTTATTAGTGTTGTTATAATTAGTCTTGTTAATTATTAGCGTTGTAATTAATTAATTTATTATTATTGTTTATTTGTAATTGTTATAGCTAATTAACTTAGATAGCTATTTTATTTCTTATTATTATCCTTGTTGTAATAGAGTAGTTAGCTAGTTATTCTTTAATTTATTCATTCGGTTTTATAATAATTAGTTTAATTCGGATTTTCGAATTTTAATTCGCACCCTCTTGTACGAGGGCCAACTATGTAATAAGTTGTATGTCTTCCAACTCCACGCCTTTCTCCCTTTTATGTACTTGCTTATGATGGTTAGTATATGAACATCATTTTTCAAATTAGCATTCTTATGATTTACATTCCTTGTCTTACATGCATTTAAGGCTCGGCTCATCATACTAACCCAATATCAATGTTCAAATTCATTACTTGAATACGTGCTTTATCGCATGTCTTGAATAAAATCATATGCCATGCTCATAGCCAAGCCTATAAAATTCATAATATGTGCGTTGCATTAGTCATATTGAATTAATTAGGAGCATGCATATATTTTCTAATTATTTGCATTGTTATGGCTTGGAGTACTAGGTAAGTAAATTTTGTATTTTAGCATCTTGCATCGAATGTTTGTGTTACCACGTCAAAACATGCTTCCATGAGGCTATTTGCTTAAATGATAAACTGCTTGTGGATAAAGGCTAGTTGCTTGAATTGAAATAATTTGAGTAATGTTTATATGCGATCATTTTTTCAAGTGGTACATATTCACAAAATAATTTCAAACAAAACATGAAATCAAATGTTCTAAATTTCGCAAATTAGTCTATACTTGTGTGAGTCACATAGTAGTATAGTTAATAATTAGAACAAGAGCATATAATGTAAATAAAAATTACATCGTGATTAGTAGAGGCCGATCTTTGATCGGGCAAGTGTGGTGCTCAATTCATGACATTTCCTTCTCGTACCTAAGTTCCCGAGCCGAGACACTTGGTGATGATGGACTAATCGCCTTTGGCATAAGTCTTGGGTTTCCTAAATTTCCCAAAAATATTTAGGTGGCGACTGTGAAATCTGGTAAAGCAGTCTATATTTGGCATTTTATTCAAAACATCGATTTTCCAAAAAGAATTGCCAAATTTGGACTCTTTTGTGTTTTCATTATTTCACATTGCACTTGTGAAATCATATTCAGAACCACAAGTAGAGTCTGAACTGTAGGGCTTCTTGTCTTCTAAAAGGGGCACGGAAAGTCGAGCTACAGTGGGCCGCCGCAGATCGGATTAAAATGACCGTCCCTAGTGCTAGGTTGGGTCGGTATGCACTAGGCGGGTAGGGGTATTGAAATCGCATACCCCGACCCGGGGTTAGGCTTAGCAGATTCTTGTAAATAATGGGACCAAGTTGAATCTGCTCACTCGTGCAAAATTACGGCTCAGATCCAAATTTAAACTCAATATGGTTGTTTGTGGATCGATTTTTGAAAGTTTGATTTGCAGTTTAGACCCACCTGCATGTTAGCAGTTTGGAAAAAATTGAACCTGCAAATTGTGATTTGTACAAATAAGGTTTGCGGATGTGCGAGCAGTTTGTGGATTGGGCTTTTCCTTTAAAATTTTATTTTTGGACTTATTTTTTCTTATTTTTTAAATATTCTTTTTTGGGCCTTTTCCACCCATTTTTTAAATGTTATTTTGGGCTATAAAATCACATATTTCTTATCATGAAATTATTATTTTTCAAATGATTTATCCCAAATAAATTACAGCATATCTATCTAATTTACTTCCAGAAGGAAACAAACTATAAACACAGGCCAGGATCAGTCAATTGACTGACATTCACTTTGCAAAAAATGTATAAGCTAAACAATGTATACAAATGCGGACGGGTGAATGTGGTATGGGTAAAACCTATCGCCAGCCCGCAACCCACAAAATAGGAAAATCCTAACCCTCATCCGATCCTAACACTTATGTGAAAATGCCCAAATAGGTGCGGGCGGTTCAGGTTGGGTGGTTTTGTAGGTCAGATAACTCTATATTCAGTCCTAAGACCCAGGGATACTTAGGCCTCGGGCAGGCTAGCAAAGTGAGCTTAGACCGGACCTAATTTTTTTTTTTTCCCCACCAAAATAGCCTAAAAATGACATTAAGCCTCGGGCAAATTGGGCCCCAAAACACACGACCCAAGCGTTGGGTCACATGCTGGACTCGAACCTGGTTGGATTGAACCGTTTCGAGCTACGGATAGGCTCCAGATGGGTTGCTGGTCAGTGGGCTAATTTACATCCCTAGGCAGTTTTGGTTTGATTTTTTTTTTAATTGATTTTTAGAAGAATTTTCGTTTATTTTTGATAAGTTTATTTATTTATTTATTTTTCATATTTTAATATTTTTTTAACATTTTAGTAAGTGTTTTATTTTTTTAATTTTTTTCATGTATCTAAAAAAACTTATTAAAAATAAACGAAAAAACTTATTAAAAATAAACGAAAAATTGAAGAAGAACACGCAAATTTTTGCTTGGGTTTTCAATTATTTTTAATATATATATTTTTTTACTTTTCAAAAACCTTGTCTAACATTTAAAAAGTTAAACTAAAAATATAGAAAACAAAAACTTTAATAAAAGCCAATAAGAAGTTGTTTAAAAATATTTTTTTGAAAAATCAAACTAAACAGACTCATATTTTAAAATTCATACAAACTCTCATATATTAAATAAAAAAATATATTATAAAATTAATAATTAAAAACTTTATAGCAGAGAAAGTTCATAAAATATCATTCAATTCAATCTTAAAGTGTTTAAAATAGCAGAGAAAGTTCATAAAAATTCATTTCAATTAAATCTTAAAGTGTTTAAATATTAAAAAATGTTTAAGACTTCCTTTTCCCTCACCCCTTTGACCCCCTTTCTTTTTTGATTGGCTACTTTTTTTTTTTACTTTTTTTTTTCCTTCTCCTTCAATCACTGCCTACTACGTGTGTGTGGGGTTGTGGAGATAATAATTGGAGAGGGTCTCCATCAATGCTCTAAATATTAATCTCAAACTTTTATAAAATTACTATAATGGGCAAGCTAAACGGACAATTGAACCAATTTGAAAGTGTAATTTAAAGACTTTTAGAAAAATTACAAAATAAACCCAACATTTAATCATTACAATAAAATTATGCACTAAATTCTTAGTTTCCTCAATCAATTCACACGCTTTGTCTATTATTCGTTAACTTGTCTAGCTATTTGAGATACTATAGGTGTTTGGTGTAATTTAAAAAAATTTATTTCAGCTTTTATCTTAATTTAAGTTGAAATAATGTATTTGGTGTAACTTACAAGGTAGCAACTTCTAACTTATTGTAACTTAAATATAAGGAAAAAAGTTGATTTCAAAAAGTATCTCATGAGATGCTTTTCAAATTTAGATTGGCCCTGTTTAGTAGACTTGTGGAAAAGTGATTATAACTTATAGCTTAACAGCTTATAGTTTATAACTGTGAACATAAGCTGATTTTTAACTTATAAATTAAGTTTATTCTCCCCCACTCAAAGAATAAGTTGATTTTTGACTTACAAAAAGTTATAAGCTATGTTGTTAAACTCAACCAAACACATCAAAATAATTTAAATTAAACTAAAAACTGAAACAAAGTGAAAATAAGTTCTACTAAACAGGGCCATTATGACCCTGTTTGGTAGGGCTTATTTCTAACTTATTTAAGCTTTTAGCTTAATTTAAGCTATTTTGATGTGTTTAGTTCAGCTTAATAATACAGTTTATAACTTTTTATAAGTAAAAAATCAACTTATTCTTTGAGTGGGGGAGGAGAAGCTTAATTTATAAGTAAAAAATCAGCTTATATTCACAGTTATAAGTTATAAGCTGTTAGGGTATAAGTTATAATCACTTTCTCACAGTTCTACCAAACGGGGCCTATATTGATAGCTAAAATTGAAGAAGTCAAAATACTTAAATGTCCTCTATCGTTACAAAATATTACCATTAAACCAGGTATATAAACTCCTATTGTACTCTCTCTCTCTCTCCTCATTTTACATCTGAGAACACAGAGAAGAGAGAAGCCAAAGAACTCTCATGTTTTTGCTCAAATCGAACCTCAACCTTCGAAGATCCGAAGCCGATCGAAGGCACTATTATCGCCGACGAAATCTGGACGACTAAACTTCACCCCCATCTCCAACGAACTGTAAGTTTTTATAGCGACCCCGGTCTTCTCCCATTTGATTATTGTATCCGGACTTAGGTTCCGTAGATTCTGTCATTGTATAACGGTTGTTGTTGTCCCTTATTTCTCATTTGGAATTATAGGATGTGTTGGGCAGGTTTGTTTCAGGTTGGTTGGGTTTAGAAATCAAGTGTTGCTGTCCAGTATTTTGGATTTTCGCTCGAGCGAGTAGTTTTTCGCTCGAGCGAGCTGTTGTTTTTGGTTCTTCGCTCGAGCCGGGGTTTGGTAGCTCGAGCGAGAGTTTGTGTCTGGTTTGGAGGTGATGACGGACACTCTTGGCTCTGGTAGCTCGAGCGACCAATTCTTCGCTCGAGCGAGCCTGTCCAGTTTATATACGCAGTAGCGGGTTTTGATCAGTCTTTTTCATATTCTTTTGTTTCCAAACCCTGGGTCCGACTTCTCTCTCTCCCTACTCACCTTCTTTCTTAGATTTGGTCCATTTAGGGTGTGTTTCTACCCTAGATCCTTCATTAAAAAGATAGAGTGAGTCGTGGGCTTCCATTTAATCTGAATAGTTGGTGATTTGGAGCACTTTGGTATTTGGGCACTCATCTTTGTCTTCACCATTTGTGTTGTTTTCTTCGAGGTAGGGATTTCCTACTCCATTATATAGGTTTTGTTCTAAGTTTTGGTATTTTGATATGTTGGGGATACTTTGGTAAATTTTGGAAAAAAACCCTAGTTGTATTATTAAATTAATTTGTATAAATAATTCATGGAGTTGGGAAAAGATAGTTAAATTCATGGAATTGGGGAATTCATTGGTTAAATAGCATAATTGGCTAATTGGAATCATTTGTTTATTGAATTGATGACATAGTTATTTTCAGTTTAGAAATAACTGTTTTGGGCTATCGGTGGAGGATAGTCGTGATTGTTGTAGACATTGCATGTGGATTAGGAATAACTGAAACTAATCACATTGGTTAAGTCATTAATTTTGACTATTGCATTGATACAGAAAATACGTATAATGATTGAGCATTGCATTTGCATACATTGTTTTGTGTGTGGGAGGAGATAGGGGATGTACTCCACGGTTTAGGGGAAGATAGGGGATGGACCTCTAAACCGGATTTTGTTTGGGAGGAGATAGGGGATGGACTCCATTAGCATCACTTTTATGTGTGCTTATTTATATAGAAGTGTTTTATTGATACAGCACTAAAATGTGTATCAATTTGGAAGTATGAAGTGTTGGATTTGAGCTTGAGTCTCATTTGTTTGTTGATATTGGAAGGATGTGAATATGATATATGTGATTCACTGTTGTAAGTCTGGCCAGGTTTTGAGCCATATTGATAAAATTGGAAAGTAAAACGTATCTTTGGCAATAGTGTCATGAGACTGTAAAATGAAGTAATTGATTATTTTGGTTAACCATCTGTTGAATGCTATTGCTTTATTCATTGCTTATATATGGTTTAGAATGTTTCTACTGGGCTGTGGTTCACCCTTTATGGGAACATCATTTTCAGGTTCAGGTGATAAGCTACCTCCAAGGACTTAGCTTGGGAGGGTTTGGCTTCTGGATTGAAGAAGACTACCTTTAGTTAATAGTTTTTATTTATTAGTACATGTAAACATTCAAGCCTAAGGCTTTTCTTGTATTGAGATTAGAACTCATATTTTTGAGTCCAAGTGTTGGCTTGGAAAGATGTAAGCCTGTAGGGCATTTTATTCGATGTTACATGTAATGATTTATTTAGTAATACTCTGATGAATGAATTAATAAATTGTCTTCTTTAAATAATGCATGTCAATGATATATAATGGGTTAATTTTGAGGGCGTTACAGTTTTGATCTTTGTTTTTTTGTGCACAAGTTATATGTATGTATGTTTATAGTATGGGAAAACAAAAATTTTCAAGATTTTTTTACTTGTTCTCTTTTTCAATGAAATCCTAAACTTACTAATTTGTGGATTTAAGTTATGATTTATGAATTTAGAGAAAACCATTTGAGTTTTAAGATTTGTTTTTTTTTAATTTACAACCAGTTATATATATATATATATGTTTACATTGTGAAAAAATTTGTTTAGGGTTTTTTTAATTGTTCTTTGTACCAAAAAAAAAAAAAATTGTTGAAATGGAATTGCAATGAAGTGTACCAATATAGGTACTAATTATTAACTTTAATTATAAAAGAACTTTTAAAAAAATAAAATTCAAGAAAAGAAAAAATATTACAATTCTTACATATTATAAGAGTAACAAGGACAAGTACATAACAAAAAAAACTATTTTACAGCTTATTCAACCAAATACTACTCTGCCGCTTAAATTCATAATCCCACAATTATACCAAATAGGTTAACAACTTTTGTATAAAGCTAAAATTTATAATATGTTAAACTATATATAAAATCACTTGCTCACAACAGCACCAAACAAAATCCTCTTTCATTTGTTTTTTCAACTTGGCCTCAATTTAAACTTTTACTTGAACTACATCAAATCATAATAACCCTTTTTTATTAATCATCCAGGACAAAACTACTATACACCCAACATTTTAGACATTTACTACCATCACCTTCTTCTTTCCCTTCCGCTCAAACCACTTGCCATTGTTTTCCTTCCTTTCCTATGCGGCTACCTTCTTACTTATTCTTCTTCTACTTTCTTAGTAATTGGAACAAGTTAAGAACAATCACTGTGGTATCTCATCCCTGTTTTGTTTTATGTTGGGGTAGGAATAATGTTGAAAAAATCAAGAAAGTGGTGATGACAAGAGACAACTAGAGTTGCAAATGAACCAAACTGTTTATGAACAAAGTCAGCTCGTCTTGTCTTGTTTCTTCTCGGCTCATCTTAAATGAGTTGAGTTCGAGTTCAAATATTAGACTCGTTTAGTAAACGAGTTGAACTTGAGCTCGAATAAATTCGGCTCATCAAACTCGGCTCGTTTATCTTTATTTAAATTATATAATAAATATATTATTTATATATTAAATAATAGTAAAAATACATTATTTATATATTAAATAATATTAATAATATTTTTATTTAAATAATATTAATAATATTAAAAAAATCTTATCGAGTTGAGCCGAGCTCAGCTCGAGTTTCATTAATATTAACAAACCGAGCCAAGCTCGAATTCAATAAATGAGCTTGATAAGCAAACGAGCCAAGCTCGATTCCACTCGGCTCATTTGCAGCTCTAAACACAACATGACCAAAAAAAGTGTCGTGATAATTTGTTTCAGTATGAAAGGAATAATACTAACAAGTGATAGATGATTAACATATAAGGGGCAAAGATTATTAGTGATGAGAGAAAATATTTAGCTATAACATATGTAAAAAGAAGGTAAAAGTGGTGCAACATGGTGTAACGTTGGTGCCTCTGGCGTAAATCTATTGTTTCTTTGTTTGCGAAACAGATTTGGCCTGGCTACGTGGCCTTCAAACTACCACACACGACAGTAAAAACAATCAAATTCCATCATTTGGCCTGGTAACGTGGCCTTTATTTCCAATACCATTCCTCGTAGAACTTCCCCAAAACGGTGGTCTTCGGTTTGCCTATTTCCCAAAGCTCTTCCCTGCCTCATGTTGTTGCAGATTTTGGTTTACCCAGGTGGAATTCAGATCAGCGACGCCGACAATGAAGAAGAAAACAAAATTTTTCCCTTCGAACATGGGTTTCTCATATATATATCTTGTCGATGGAGTTGCTGTTGTCCTCTTCTTTCCATCACTGTCAGCGTTCTTCCTGCCATAACGTTGTGAAAATTGGGCATCCAAGGCTCTGGTCCTGCAGTTGCAAATCCTAGTATGTACATCTGTAATTTCATGGCTACTATTTACAAGTATGTTGCACAATATTTAACCACACTATTTTTTCCCTACCCACATGTTCAGTAGATGCACACCATGTGTTTGTTAATATGTCTCAATAAATAAGGAGTTCACCTAGCTGAATTTTCTGAATAAAAAATAAGCCCCATCCAATTTTCTAAGTTGAAAATCCAAATCTAAGCAAGAGAAATGTATGATATATTACTTGAAAATATAAAACAAATAAATAAATAAAATGAAAATCCAAAAACTATTAGAAACAAAATATAACTACAGTTCACTTCTCAAATTCATAAACCAAATACAATTTGTAGAAATATTTATGTAGAAATATTTATGTGGAAAAGATTTAGCTGTAATGGTGTTACTTTGGATTACATACTAAAATATATGAAATTAATATAGCAAATCTAGGTTGGTTGGTTAATTAGCTGATGTATAGGTAGGTATGCAATTGTTATTCTGTCATTGTCATTCAGTAGTTGCCATCTATACGAACTGGGGGTCAATATTTGAATCCTCAAATTATTCATTGTTAGTTAGAATTCATACAAATATGTAATTTATAATCAAAAGAAAAAAACTAACCTGTACAGGAGTGTTCCGTCTGGTATTTTAATTCAAATGATGCCCAAATGGACAATCCAAAGAGCGCAAGTTTGGAATTATAAGGAAGGCAACCAACTCAAACAGAAAGCAATCAAGTTTGATTCCCCTGTTTATGTCAGATCAATTCAACTTAAAACTACCAACATAGAAACATAAAAAAAAAAAATAAATAAAAACAGGAGGAGCAATCCAAAAAACCTAATAAAAATGGTCAAAAGCTTCATCTCCTTCTCTCTATGTTATATGACCAACCAATAACTATGTATCATAATTCTTTGGCGAATTGGAGTCACTCTCAAATGATTTTTTTTTTTCCAGTGGTTCTGGTTTTGTTGTGGAGTTTTATATCTATATGTTTTGAATTTGGGTTTGGGCTTGGGTTGTTGTCTTTGGTGTGAATTTGTTTTTTTTTTTGTTTTGTTCCTTTTCCCATTGTGGGAAGAAGTGTAGTGCCTCAGGCTTAAAAGAAACATAGCTGCAAATGATGAACCATGAGCCTACTAAATATAAACCTGAAGTAGTGCAATTACACAAGATCAAAGATCATTAAAGAAAACTCTGAACTATAAGCTGACTGCAAATTGGTAGGAGCCATTGTCATGCTTATATCATTCAGGAACAACAATATTAATTTGATCTACTTTGCTAACACCCATTCAAACATTCTAAAAGCTTGAGTTAAGTGTATATGTATCATTTTCAGCAACCAAAAAAACAAAAAAAACAAAATTCTAAAAGAGTTTTCCTTCTGGTGTTTAAATTGGAATGATTCCCAAAAAGACAATTCAAAGAGCACAAGTTTGGAATCATAACCAATCCAAAAACAGAGCAGTCAAAGTAGATTCACCCATTGATTTCCTTCGCTCTATTTTATACGACCAGCCAATAACTATGTATCATAATTCTTTGGCAAATTGGAGTTAATTCTGAAATGAATTTTCATCTAAAGTTATATATAATAGTAGATGTATATATATTAACATATCTCTCTCTCTCTCTATATATATATATACTTCACTAAAAGTTATATATAATAGTTAACTTTCGTTTTTTCGATAACATATAAACAACTTTTGTATGTAATAACTTCAAATTTTTGGACAACATATATATAACTATGGTATATAGTGTAAGAATATGCTTGCTAGCTTTTGGATACCACATATAGTAGCTATTTATTCTTGCATTCCAGGTCTCTTTTTTGCTTTTATATTGTGCATATGTATAAATTCCACTTAATTATTCCAAATTTATTACAGTGTGTGGTTGAGTGGTTAAGTATCAAGGGAAAAAGCCTGATTACTTGTAGGCTCCGATTATTCCATTTCGTATTGTTGAAGAGCATGAATCTCATTGTGATAAAAAGCATGAATCTCATTGTGATAAAAATTTATTGTCACAACTATCTATATAATAAGGGAGAAGGGATTTTAAAAATATGTAAAATATATGAGAGATACATTTCATTTTAAGGGCTCAGATGAATTGTGATACAGATCAATGGTTGAGATTATCCTTCAATTCCCGCCCACACACTTGGTGCTCTCTCCCACCTACCCACGTCTCCTCTCCCATTCCATCTTTTATCTCCTCCTCTCTATTGCACGTCTCCCTTATCTCTATCTCCCTCTTTGTTCCTCTTCTTTATCTTTCCCATAGACACTACCTCTCTCCTTCTCTCCCACCCGATCTATGCCTCTCCCCCTCTCCCCCCACCCTCCCACTCGCTGCCTCTCCCCCTCTCCCTCCTTTCGCAGAGACGCTACCTCTCTCCTTCTCTCTCACCCGATCTCTGCCTTTCCCCCTCTCCCCCACCCTCCCGCTCGCTGCCTCTCCCCCTCCACCCGATCTCTGCCTCTCCCCCTCTCCTCTCACCTTCCCACTCGCTGCCTCTTCCCCCTTTCGCAACCCTCCCACTCGCTTTCTGAAGGCTAGGGTTTCCGATTAAGAACCGTGATACCTCTCTGAACCCCGATTGGAGCTCTCCGGTAGAGCTACTTTAGAGCTACACCAAACCTGAGGCTTCTATCTGTGCAAGGCAATATAGATTGTATAGATTGTATGAAAATCAGAGTTTCTATATTTCTATATTTCTGTATACATTTTATAGATTGTATATTTCTGTATACATTTCTGTATAGATTGTATATTTCTGTATACAAGGTATAGATTGTATAGATTGTATATTTCTGTATACACCAAGCACACGGTTTTGGAGGTTTTGGGAATGATACCTCCAACTTGGGTTATGTTTGACAAATGTTTTTTTAACAGTTTTTTTATAATCATTTGAGATGATTATGTGTGGATTTTCAGAAATTATTATTTTGGTTCAATTTTCAGGTTTCATTGAAATTTTTATATTTTGTGGAATTTTAACAAGATCAATGAAAATGATGATTATGAGTGTGATTTTGATTTTTTTTTTTTAAGTATATTTGTTTTGTTCAATTTGTATATTTCATTATAGTGTTTGAAACTTGCGAAATTCAATGAAATAAATGAAAAAAACATACTATTTTTGGTCATTAATTTTTTTTAAAACAACTGCGTTTTTTTTTTTTTTAAATTTTAATAATGGGCAGGTTTTTGTATATTTGTTTTATTAAAATTCATTTATTTGGGTCAACTTTTAGATCCCTATCTATAAAAATTAGAACTAATTTTTTTTTGTTAAGTTTCTAATTTTTCTCTATAATTTTAGAATTTAGAATTATACTAAGATGAACAATAAGAAGGCAAATATTCCAATTTGATTTAAAGAAATTCTTTAGCCACAACTGCAGATAATGTTGGTGCAGCAATATGTGCTCAAGGTGTTGAGAAGTGAATTAGTAGACATGACAAATGATGCATGGCAAGAGCATCATGTAAAATGCTTTCACCATTTGATTGTGACTGGAAATGACTGATTTTGATATTGTGATCTGAGAAATTCTACAAAACCAAGTCTTTGAAATACCAAATCTTGGATTTTTGTAAGAAGGGACTATATACCTAAATGGAAAAAAATAGGAATAAGCACTTAGTTAAGTTAAAGTCTTGACAGTAAACCTATCATCTATTTTTCATGTTCTAAGTAAAATGGAATGTACTAACCTATCTACGACACATTGTTGTTTTGTAATGTTTATTATGCCTATGTATTTCTGGGAGTGTGCTTCCTAAAAATGCTCTTTTGGTTTGTGAATTATATAAATCTGTTTCTACATTAACTTGTGTTAACTCTACTATTTGCATCATTGCTGCCTTATTGAATTGTGTATTACAACAATCCAGGCTGTTGAGATTGGAAAGCAGCTTGCAAGAAAGCACTTCATCCATCATGTCTTCGGGTAACTCACCAACTTATAACATATGACCCGAACCATTTATTGCCTTACCATTCCTCAGAATAATTTAGACATCAATATATAAATACAATTAATTAATTCACAACCTTAATACAGGCTATTGCAACCAACTCCAAGGTAAGGCTATTCATGCGCAATTGCATTAAGTTTGAATTGTGAAAATAAATGCCAATTGGTTATTAATGTGTTATTTTTTTGTCTAATCTCTATTTAACTGGGTATAGTTTCCTTCTCTTCGGCTTCACTTCCATTTGTATCATATAAATTGTGTGTTTCAAATAAAGACACTTGCCAACATACAAATATTCATAAACTTAATTTTCAATTTCTTTTCAGATTTTTGCTCTCTAGCCCTGTTCTTCTTCTTCCATACCCTCGCTCCAGAAACTGCTGCTCTCCAGGTAAGATCACTCTTTTCATTTTATGTGGTGAAATGTTTGTCATAAGCAGAGCAACAAAATTAGAGACACAAAACTAATTACAAAACAAATGATATTAAACAATTTTGATTATACATATCACATGATGAAATTCATATTAATCTACCTACATTTTCTGTGATTTGTTCTATTATCAATTTTATATTCATAAATTCAAGTAGAATGGAACATGCACGTGATGCACTAAATAAAATTGCTCCATCACATGGATGTTTTTGTTTTGTTTATGTCCTCACATGCACAAACCTTTACATGGTGAAAATGACACTTTTATCTCATTATTGGTCACCAAATCTCTTTGCAAATTACAACAAAGGTTGTTGGCAGTTTATAAACTTGGAGACTAAGTTAACAAAATAAAGTATATAAGTCAAATACACATCTATATAATAAGGGAAGAAGGTTTTTGAAAATGTATAAAATATATGTGAGATACATTTTAATTTAATGGTTGAGATCAGTTTTTTTCCCGCTCAAACGCTCTCAGCTCTCTCTCTCTCCCACCTACCCACCTCTCTTCCCCATTCCTTCTTTATCTCTCCCCCTTTCTGTTCTCACATGTCCCCATTCCCTTTTTGTCTCTCCCCCTTTCGAAATCGGACCCTTGGCTGAAGAATGTTTGAGTTCATCTATGGTATGCACAACAGTGAGCACAACAATCCACCGATTGGCGTAAACCTCAGAACTGTGAATCGCCCAGAATCCATTAGATTCGGAGAAGAAACTTGAATCAGGTCAGAGCGTTTCACGGCCATTGCGGTCGCGACCATACTGAATCCTCTAGATTTGATCAGAAGCATTTGATTAGGAAACATGCACTTGGACACAGAACCACCGTCTTGGCGAAGGAAATCGAACCAGAATCCATTAGATTCGGAGAAGAAACTCGAATCAGGTCAGAGCCAATTGTGATATCTATAGATTATATCATTTCCATTCCGTCTTGACTTCGTCTTTGATAGCTATAACTTCAGGAAAAAATAATTTGGGGGAAATTGAAAATGGAATTTAGGTAAATTCTCATTGAAAGCAAGTTTATAAATAAAGTTTTTATCATTTTTCAGTGCACAAGGATAATTATTGTTCAATTGCCATTGCGGTTGCGACCATACTGAATCCTCTCTTGAGATGGAGATGGATCGACTCCTCCAGATTTGATCAGAAACGTTTGATCAGGAAACATGCACTTGGACACAGAACCACCGTCTTGGCGAAGGAAATCGAACCAGAATCCATTAGATTCGGAGAAGAAACTCGAATCAGGTCAGAGCCCAATTGTGATATCTATGTATTATATCATTTCCATTCCGTCTTGACTTCGTCTTTGATAGCTATAACTTCAGGAAAAAATAATTTGGGGGAAATTGAAAATGGAATTTAGGTAAATTCTCATTGAAAGCAATTATGATTTGTTTGGATAAATTTAACAAGAAGTTAACCAACCATGACATGTCTTGGTACAGCATTAATATATGGAGATTCTGTTCAGAGCTCTGTTGGCATGTCAAATATTCGAAGAATCATAGGAGTTTGTCCCAAGGTGATTCCTTTTGTACTTTTTCATTTCTTTTTAGTTTTCACTATTTCAATGAGATCATAGATTTGATTGTCCCACTATTTCTATTGATTTCTGTTTCACTGTTTATAGTTTGATATTCTTTGGGATGCACTGTCTGGTCAAGAGCACCTCCACCTCTTTGCAAGTATTAAGGGTTTGCCCCCTTCTTCAATTGAATCGGTGCGTGCTATACAAACCTGGTACTGATTTTCTGGATACTCATTTTGTTACATATCCACTTGATATTGTGTAAATTACAATAGACTCCAGAGGTTATTACTATATTCTAAGATAAGTGCTTTTTTTCTCAAGCACAGGTGGCACAGGAATCATTAGCAGAGGTGAGACTCACCGAATCAGCCAAAATAAGAGCTGGTAGTTACAGTGGAGGAATGAAACGCCTCCTTAGTGTTGCGATTGCCCTAATTGGTGACCCAAAGTTAGTCATATTGGATGAACCGGTATACAGATAAGAGAATCTTCGTTCTTCATTAAATTTATTCACTTCATCTGCTCACCAGAAATTTTATCATTTTTCAAGGCACAAGGATAATTATTGTTCAATTGCCAAAAGTTAAAATAATTAGCATTTTTGGCAATAAAATTTTCTATTTTCCTCATAATTATTTGAATTTTTTCTTATTGTTAACAATTTGCCCAAACACAAAAATCAAAAGTACAACAGTAAATTCTTTTTGATTTATCACAGACTGACTTTTTTTTATAAATAATTGAAAATTGAACCGAGATGTACCTCTTGTGCTTTGATTCTTTGGTAGATCTTTGATTCTTTTAATGAATTTATAATTGGAGATGATTCTTTTGTGGTCTTTTGGTTACTTCCTATGTTATGACTTGGTCATGGCTGGTGTTTATGATTAGTTGATTAGTAGTGTTTATGACTTGGTCATGGCTGGTGTTTAAAATGATATAGAAGCTTATTTTTTAGACTTACTGTTTAGATGCAATGATGTGTGGAAGAGATGATTGGTGATGATTAGACACTACTATCAGGATTATTATTTTGTTGGTTATGACCTATGGTGATCTTGGTTATAATCGAAAATGACTTTGGATATATTTTCGTGGTGTTTGGTTGTGACACTTTTTTTGAAGTAATGATTGAAAATGATTTAGTTATGACATTTATGTAACTAATATAAAAAATGTACATATGGTAAGGCTCTGTATTCTTGAATGACCCCGTTGTAAGTACACTAATATTGTAGATGGTTCAAATGTCAAAGATTGTTGGTTCAGATATTGTGTAATTGTGCACATAATGTAATTTTAGAGAGGTTCAGTTGTACTGTGATGATGTGCGTGGGCTGGTTTATGTGTTTTTGGTTAGGGTTTGTTTAGGTTAGAATGTGTGGTGGTTTGGAGGGTTGGTCCCTTGTGGGTAATTGTAATTTAGTCAAATTGTCAATTGTAAACCAGTATAAAGCTCAAGGGTTGGTGGTGGCTGCATGTTGTGGCTTTAAATCTCAGATGTGGGTTCGTGGATTTTGTTTCAGTGTTGCAGCAGAGTAAAGATTCCTGATTCCTCTGTGCTAGCTGGAGAGGATGAATTTTAGCGGCCTGATCATTTGAAGGAATAAATTCATGCATTGCAAAAAAGAATTTTTTTTCCGTCATGTTGATGCAGAAGAGAGGAGACAGTACTTTCTTATGTGGTGAACTCATAATTTTTTTTTGCTATTTCTTTGATGCTGCGTATTTTTTTAGCTAATGTGACAGATTTTGAATTGCATTGGTTCTGACTTTGGGGTTGAGCATGTCTAATTTAAATCTTGATTCTTCATGTATAGATTTTGTGGTGTGAACATTATTTTTTTGGCAGAGATGTAGAGTCCTTCATATTAGTTTGGTTTGTAAATTGTGTTCACATACTAATTTTTGGTTTGGAATTGTTTTGCTTCCGCTACTATGAAACATTATTTGGCCATTTTTGCCTTATCTTCTACACTTAAATTAGGGCTTTCTTTTTCTTTGAGAGATTTCTTTTTCTTCTTTTTCTTTTTTCCTAGAGAGATTTCTTTTGTTCTTTTTCTTTTTTCTTTCAATTTGTGTAGTGGATTACAAATATTTACTTTTAGATTTGTGGATTATGCTGATTAAGTTATACAATTATTTCTCTTTTGATCTACAAAACATGCTGATGTACACATTGCTGGATGGAAGTTGTTGTGGTCCTTGCTTTATTGTTTCAGTCGCTTGATCCAATTTCATGGTGTGTTCATCTAAGCAAATCAAATGGATAGTTTTATTTGATTTTTTTTAAAATTTTTTTTTATCAGTTGTTCATAGCATTTTAGTGCACAACGATAACTCATTAATATTCTTTAATATGATGCTTGGGTTCTATTGGGAATTAAATTGTTCAATCTATTTTTTAGTTTACAATTATTTTTTAAAAAAATTTAATATTATCATCTATAACTTAAGAAAACAGAGAGTCTTCGTTTGAGAAGAGAGAGGAACAGGGGATATCAGTCGGTGAGAGAGAGACAGTTGAGAAGATTAATGTTTTACAGTCTTTGGGGGAAGATTTTTTTTATTAAAAATATAAAAAATGCTACATATTCTTAAAAAAATACAACTTTATGACTCTCACTCACCTATGATTGGTCCAGGAAGGAAATAAAAACAATTAAAATATATGATTGGTTTACATCATTTTGGGAGTCCTGGAGGTTCCTAATTTTGGGGGTTTTTGAAATTTATTTGGGTTACTAATAAATTGGTATTTCATTTGAGTTTCATGTCTTCATTTAGGAATTTTTCTCCTTCCTGTGAATTAATTACCTACTCTTTGAAAAGAAAAGAAAAAAAACAAAAAACAATAAATTTGAATACATTCTTCTCTAATTTTGATTTATATTTTAATCTTATCATTAATTGTACGGGCATACACTAGTCTTTAATATGACACCATGTTTCTTTATTTGTAAATTTCTATAATTTATAAAATTTATGTTCATAAGCTATTTATAAATTTCTATAATTTATAAAATTTATGTTCATAAGCTAGCCCCCTGTTCAAAGTACCCCTGTTCAATCTACCTTGTTATTGAACTTGTGTAATTGCACCGTTTCAGTGGATTTCAATTTGTCGCTTCAAGTTTATATTTAGTAGGCTTATGATTATGGTGCATAATTGTTGGCAGCTAAGTTTTTCCAAATTGCTTTATCTCTTGGGAATTGGGTAGGTAAGTTTTTACTTGATTGTTTTTATCATTTGCTAGATGTAGTCAATGTAATCTGGTTTGGATAGTGATGGGGGTATTCTCCAAGATAGTCATGGCAAATTATTTTTGGCTTATCTGTTGTTGCTTGTGCAGTGTTCCAATATTGTAGCAGAAATGAAGGCATGGCTATTTCGTATCGTCTACGTTTGAATAGGATATTTGCTGGTTGCAGATTGGGTGACTCGAAATTTTTGGTGGATTTCCTGAATGATACATTTGGCTCCCTTTGGTTCCCTTTGGTTCTTCATTGATGATGTGCTTGTCATGCAGCAATTGTTGTCTGGTATTCATTGTTCAATGTCTCTTGGTTTTGAGGAGGCCAATGATAGTTTATGCTTTTGCTAATTGGGTTGTGATCATCAAGACTACATTTTCAAAAAAATTTATAGTCTTCCTTCTTTAGTTAAAGGTTCAGTAAATTTGGATAGAATAGGATCTGCCTATGTTAGGCTTGCTTGATGTCCCTCTTAATTTGTTGGTACAGTGTTTTTTTGATGCTCTTTTCCAGAGGTTCGACAAGAATGTCGGGGAAGCATTGAAAAATTAGCTAAATAGTTGTGTATTTTTGGTGGATTTCCTGAATGATACATTTGGCTCCCTTTGGTTCTTCATTGATGATGTGCTTGTCATGCAGCAATTGTTGTCTGGTATTCATTGTTCAATGTCTCTTGGTTTTGAGGAGGCCAATGATAGTTTATGCTTTTGCTAATTGGGTTGTGATCATCAAGACTACATTTTCAAAAAAATTTATAGTCTTCCTTCTTTAGTTAAAGGTTCAGTTAATTTGGAGAGAATAGGATATGCCTATGTTATAGGCTTGCTTGATGTCCCTCTTAATTTGTTGGTACAGTATTTTTTTGATGCTCTTTTCCAGAGGTTCGACAAGAATGTCAGGGAAGCATTGAAAAATTAGCTAAATAGTTGTGTCTGGTGTTATGCATGCAATCTGTTTGCTAAAATGATTGGTACCATTTCTCAGGTTCTGGATGGTCCCGCTACAGCTTTGTCACTGTGATATTTGGTTTTCTACACTTATAGCTTTTTTTGGGTTTCTACACTTGTGATATTTCTGTTTCTACGTTGTAGCTTTTTTCTTTTTCCCTTTTATTGTCAACTTTGTACAATAATTTTTTTTTACCATAGTCAACTACTTTAGTTCATCATATAAATATACTCCACAACAATTGGGCCATGTTTGTTTGGCTGGACATGAGCTTGGGATTGGACTAATAGTCCAATAAAATTATTAATCCAAACAATTGAAGTACGGACTAATTATTTTAAATTTGATTATTAGTTAAGATAGGATACATAATCTAACGGATTCGTAGTCCTAGGACTATTAGTCATGTGAATGCTAATCCAGTCCGCCCAAACAAACATGGCCTTAGAGTATTCAGCTGCATTTGAGCAGTAAATCCAAACCCATTAGGTAGCAATACTTACCATTTTGCAAAGTTGGTTTAACTTTCTGATGCATGTTCAATACCTTAAGTTCATGGTTTTCAAATAATTGAGAAAATATCTTATTTCAAAAGTCATGAAAGTCGGAACATCAAATTTTAAATTACAAATCCAAATCCAAAAACACACTAATCTCAAATATGTTTCCACAACGTATATAACTCAATTTTCGCTTTATTGCTTAAGCCATCAGATGGCGAAATATTAATAGTTATAAATTGAAATTATAAATTGCTCTAAAAAAAATATGAAAGACATATCACACATATTTTTTTAAATGCACATTGTAATATTTTCTGACTTTATAATATTAACCATAAAATTACTACACATTTGAACATCTAAAATTTGAAAATGTTTGTAGAAATATTTATATTGAAACTATAGCACGACCCCCACGCGCGTGGAGGGCCAACTAGTAATGAGAAATAGAGAGATTGAATGAGATATTTATGAATATTTTGATTTTGTCGTCTTATCCTTATTATATTTAATAAATTAAATTATATATAAATATATGTGAAATAAAAATTATTTAATTAATATAATTGGAATGAAAATAAATTTTTTAAAAAATATATAAAATTGCACAATATGGGAAGTGATACGGACTAGGCAAAAATGGGAATTGCCAATCTAACCACTACCTAAATGTCAATTGAAAATATATAAATGGTCCTACTGGTAACAGCTTTGAGCACTATAAAATATTTATAATATCAATATATTTTTCACATATTCTAAAATATTTTTATATATTTTGTTACATTGGAAAATGCTAATTATTGTTAGTGTTAGAAAAGTGTATAAAACTGCATTGAAATATGTGAAAGTGTTTTGGGATATATGAAAAGTGTATTGAGATTATAATTTTTTGGTATTTATGGCTCTTTTGAAAAAAACAAAAGTCAATTTTTAATCCATTTTAAGTCATATCATCTCTCAGATTTTTATTTTTTAAAAAAAAGTCAAAAAAAGAGAGTTAAAAAGTCAATTTTTAATCATCTTCTCCAAATATGTGTTTCTTATTAACAATTCTTTAAAAATGTTAAAGACCTTGGATGGATTACCAAATATTCAACACAATACTTACATAGACATGTGTCTCACACCTATGTAAGTATCATGTAAAATATTTAATAATTTTATTGGAATTCTAACATTGCTCGCTATCATTAGCAAGTCTCTAGTAATATAACTCTTAAAATTAAGGGGGTAATTGGCATACAACTAAAAAAGTCACGCTTTTTTTTTAAATATTTTTTTTATCTTTAGTGATATTTTTCTCAAAATTATGTATTTCTTTTTTACTTTTCAAGTCTGTCTTGTCCAGATGAATCTAAAAATAAATAAAATTAACTTTTTTTTTATTTTTTTATTCTTTTTTAATTCTTTTTTTTTTTCAAATTATTTTACTTTCCCAATTTGTCTAGCCAGGGAAAACTCAAAAGTGTAATTTTTTTGGAAATTTAAAGGAAAAAAAAAAAAAGAGTATAAGGGACAAAACTAATATAATAGCCAAATTACAAAAATCATAGTGTAGTAATTGAGAAATTTAGTCAAAACCCTCCGTTGAATTCTTATTCGGTGAAAAAGACAACTCAATTTATCTTTCTCCATAAACCCCTTATGGAGAAAACAAATAATTGAGTAAGAACAAAATAAAATATCTTCTTTTTTTTTTTCCTTTCTTGAATAATATTGTCAGAGTAACATGTTACTGTCAAATAGAGTAATTGTCAAATAGAATAACATGTTACTATTACTGTTTATATCAATTTCAATGGTAATATTTAAAAAAAAAAAAAAGAATTTCATAGTCAACATGATTTTGATAGATCTTGATGAGAAAATTTTAAAAATATAAATTTTATTAAAAATCGACATCTATATTAAAAGTTATATTATTTTAAAATTTTATATGTTGATAATAGTGATATTTATTAGACTTTTCAAAAAAAACTTTTTGTACACATTTTTAATACATTAAAATTTTATTACAAAGTCCCCAAATGTAATTTACACCATTGAACATATATATGTCTTATTATAGGGTTGTGAACCCGAAAGATCACATGATAGTGCAAGCATGATGGACATTATCCTCACTAAAAAGCTCATAAATTTCAGTATTGACGGTGGAATAAAGCGGGTCGGGTAAGTATCCATGGACATTCTCATTGTAACCGTGGGTGAAGTAGTTATAAGTAGAAGAGAAGGTAGACTCGTCTAAGTACTGAGCAGCGTAAGGATAGTAGTCGTTGTCATAAGGGTATGGCCAAAACTCAGCTTTCCTTCCTGTTCTTCTCACCACTTTCAGTACCCTCCTCTGATCCACATATCCAGTCACTGTTACCTTTTGTTTGTCCATGTCTATGTCCAAGCTATCAACCCCTGCATCATTTTGTTTTTTTACAAAAATTAAGTACATACACAAATAAAAATGAACAGAACGCTCTATAAAATGAATAATTAAAATTATTAAAATGAAATCGTAATAGGTTTTATGGGATCCTCAAATTCAAAGCCCAACTTGTACGCTGTGTTTGGTTAGAAGATTTGAGAAGATATTTGGAAAGAAAAAAGAAAAAAGAAAAAGGTGTGTGAAATTAAGTAAAATATAAGTATATTTTATTTATATTTTACCTACTTTATTCTTTTTCGTTTCTAAATTCCTTCTCAAATCTCCTAACCAAACAGAGCAATAATTTAGCTAAACAGATAATTTTTAAAGAGGGACTAGTACCAAAAAGAAAAGCTAGGGTTGAAATCTTCCAACAAAATAAATCTTGAGTTTTTAATTTTGTTAATTTAAACTTTAATATTTTGATTGATTTTCAGCCTAAATCATTTGTCTATTGTTGTTAAATTAAATTGACGAAAAAATAGTATTTCAATTATTAAAATCGATGTAAATATATATAAAATGTCTAAAATATTTTTTTTTATTGAGTATGACTAAAATATATTTATTTTTCCATCGATTTTACTTAAAATGATTTAGATACTCCGTGTAGATATATACATAAAATGTCTAAAATACTCTTTTTATTGATTTTAATGACTAAAATACTTATTTTTCCATCAATTTTACTTAAAATGATTTAGATTGAAAACAAATTAAAAGTTTAGGATTTAAATTGATAAAATTAAAAAATCAAGATTTATTTTATTATAATGCTCAAATTCTGAGAATTTTTTTTGTACTTCCCACTTAAAAAATAAAAGTGAAAATTGAATTAAAAAATAAATTAGGGAGACTTATTTATAAATCCTTTTTCAGACACTTATGGTAGGCTAAGTCCTGTGTAATTTCTTATAGAGTCTCAAGTCCTATTTAGATAAGAATGTATTCCACAAGATCCTACATAAACATAACGTGACATGACACTTACAAAAACGTAACGTAACGTAACGTGACACCTATATAAACGTAACGTAACGTGACACCTACATAAACATAACGTAACGTGTTACGTTATGTTTCGCAAACTTAATGAGTTTTTATTTTTTTAAATTGAATGTGAAAATGTTGTTGGTTTATATTGGTGTCACGTTACGTTTCATATAAATATGATCTATGGCAACATTCAAATTGAATGTTGCCATAGATCATAGGTGTCACGTTACGTTACGTTACGTTTACGTAGATATGATTTATGGCAACATTCAATTTTCTAGAAAATTGAATGTTGCCATAGATCATAAGTGTCACGTTACGTTAAGTTTATGTAGGTGTCACGTTACGTTACGTTTATATAGATATGATTTATGGTAACATTCAATTTCCTATATATGGTTTTACTATTATTTATGATATTAACAACTAATATTGAGGGTAAATGTGTCAACAAACTTCACACAGAACTTATGGGAACATAAGGGGTCATTCTATTTACACACCACTTTCCCTCTCAAAGCAAACCATTAATTAATTTATTTTTTATTACAATTTTAACCTTAAGTGAAATGACTATAAAGGACAAGTTATGATACACTCCATTTGTGTATTTACCATAAAGGACAAGAATCAATATAATATAAATCATCAATTTCAAACTTGTTCCTTACGTATCTTCTCTGTCAAGAATCCAAAAACCCTAAAACCAAAATAAAAAACCATTCAACAAATAATAAAAAATATAGTATTATTGAAGATTTGATTGGATTCAATGAAGGATGCATCTGACAATTCTCATTCAGGACAATGGAGCAATGAAAAGGTTTTTTTTTTTTTTTGGTTGTTGTTGTTGTTGTTTTCGTCTTCATTTTCGTTTATGAGTGGTAAATCGTTGTTCGGTTAACCAGAGGTGAATGATATATCATTGTTCGACAAACTACAATTGAACAAATTACATCTGTTCAACAGACTACAATCGAACAACTTACATCTGTCCAACAGACTACAATCGAACAAGTGCAATTTGTTCAGATTACTACGGTCGAACTTTTTCATTTAATTCAACTCTGTACTGCCGAACAGTTATAAATTTGTTTTTTTTTTCCAGAACTGTGTTGAGCAACACCACCAACGACGTCTTGATGAGTGTTTTCAGCAATGGTGTTCATCGGTGTGAATAGAGAATGGAGTGGGAGATGAATATCGTGGGTGTGGGGTGTGTGGCTGTGTGGGGACAAAGATGGAACTTTGTGTGTATATTGTTGTGGGTGGGTGTGTGAGTAAGGGTAAATATATAAATTTGTGGTGTGTGATGAGCAAAATATTTATTTTTGCAAATTATTTTTAGTGTGTTTTTAGAAGTGGTTTACCTTGAGAGAGAAAGTGGTGTGTAAATAGAGCTTCCCGAACATAAAAGTTTTAGTAGGACCATATGTAGCATAAGTCTCCCTAATAGGGCTTATAAATAATTTTCCTAATAAATTATTATAATAAATCCAGTCAGATCGAATTTTCAAATCAAATATCTAGATAAAAATGGATTCAAATTTAGATGATCTTCTATTGGGTTCATCATAATTGGGTTGGGTTTGAATTCTGATTGCTTTATAATCAGACTGGATTTGAATTATGCCAGATCCAATTCAATCTGATCCATTGACAAGGCTAATATGTACAATATATTGCTCATAGTTTAAGGTGGTCATGGTTATAATTTAGAAGGATTTTGAATATGAATAAAAGTATATATTCACTCTGTTTTGTTTTAGAAGTTTCAAAAATTGTTTTTAAAATTTTAATTCGTATTTTTTTAGTGAACATTTTAATATAAAAAAAAAAAATCTCAGGGTTTAACCGTTATAACAAAATAAGCTTTAAGATTTTAATTTTGTCAATTTAAATCATAATATTTTGATTTATTTTCAATCTAAATCATTTCTCTATTTTTGTTAACTAAACTAAAATTCCATTTTTTCATGTGTGTATTTAACGAAAATAGAAATATTGTTTGAATTGAAAACAAATAAAAATTAGAGTATAAATTGATAAAATTAAAAATTTAAGGTTTATTTTATTACAAAAGTGCCCTATTGTTTATTTTATACTTTCCCTGTTAATATTTTATACAATTATTTTTACTTTTTTAGATTTATTTAATCTAGATACACTTAAAATATACAATTTATGAAAAATTCACTTAATACTAAAAAAGACTAGAGAATATAAAAATTTAGTATATTTCATATTTTTTTGTATTTATTTAATTTTTTTATTGAAAATTCAAAAAATATTTTTAAAAACTAAAACCAAATAGAATCATTAGTTATAATATGCAATTAATAGAAAATTACACCTGGTATCTTTGCATTTTACACTCAATCTTGTCAAATTTCTAATAAAGTTTAAATTCATCTAATTTGTTAACCCACAATAATGAATAAGACAAAAAAGTAGCCACGTGAGGGGTGATTTGGAAAATTGGTTAAAAGTTAATTTTTTGATTTTTTTTTTCAAATTTTTTTGTCTTTTTACGTGTAAAAAATTTAAGAAATGATATGATTCAAAATAAATAAAAAATAAAAAATTAACTTTTAACTAACTTTCTAAATCACTCCTGAGATTCACATGGTCACTTTTAAGAACAATACTGCAAAATTACTTGGTGTTCCACACAAATACACTTAAATTGTCCCCTACACTTTGTAATGCTTATATATATATATATATATATATATTCATTTCTTACATTGAAAATGGAGTTGGAAGTTCCTAATGAAGAAGAAAGAGAGAAAATAATGGTCGAAATGAGTGAAATGCTTTTTTTTTTTTTTTGTGGTGTGTGTGTTTTTGGTTTTTTTTTGTGTGCGTTTTGGGGGGGGGGTGGTATGTGTTGGGGTGCATTTGGTTTTTGGGATTAACTTTTCTGTTGATATTTTTCGTCTTTAGTTATTATTTTTTTTTAAAAAAATATTAGATTTTAAGAATATAATTAGATGAACCATAAAAGTGGAATAAATTGAAAAAATTAAAAAAACAAAACAACTGTTTTTTTTTTTTTTTTGGATTTTTTCAAATTTTTTTATGAATTGAAAAAGTAACAAAATCCAAACTTGAGATAAACGAACCATTTGATATGTTGAGTTCGAGATCCTATATGATAAAAATTAATCTATGCTCCATTAATGCAATGTGTATATGTTTATTTAGTGTCATTGGCTATATAACTAAAGGTGAATTCCATCTAAGTGGACCTATATGTTGTTGGATATATGATTTATTATCTCTTGTATCTATCATGGCATTTACACTAATGCTGTGTTTAGTTGGGAAATTTGAGAAGAGATTTAGAAAAGAAAAAGGAAAAGATGTGTGAAATTAGATGAACTATAAGTATATTTTATTCATGTTTTACCAACATTTTCTTTTTTCCTTTCTAAATCCATCCTCAAATTCCCCAACCAAAAACAGCGTAAGAGTTATTTCTGCGAATTTGATTACGCAAGATATTTCAACTAAATTTAGTTTGTGTATGACAAGATAATTAAATGGTAAATATGCTTTGTTAGATTGTGTTTGAAAATGTTGACTAAAGGGTTTAGAATCAACTAGGTTAACTAATTCTAAAGAGTGCATATGTTCCTTAACAAGTTTATCTGTTAAGGGGGATTTATTTTGAAATTGTTTTAACTATTGTTTAAGCTTTTGTTTTCTAATGTTAAAATTTCTATGTCAAGGTTAGTTCTATTTTCTGCCTCATGTATTTGTAGTTTAAGCCTTTTGATTTGTATCTCTAATTCTTAGTCGTAATTCTCTATTTTCTAGACTATGATATTCTTGCATCTCCTTTTTATTTTCTGGTATTACTTTATGTGTCATATTCAATTTTTCTAAACAAATTGTACAATAAGTTACACTACATAATATACATTGGGTTCTCTTATTTTTAACTGAAAACTAGTTATAATAACTGCATCAAGTGGTATCAAATCCTAGT